CAGCCCGCCGTCCCGAGGGGATCCTCTCCCCAGCCCGCGAGGGGGCCCCGGCCCCTCCCCCAGCCCGCCGTCCGGACGGAGCCCCGGCGCCCCCCCAAACCCGCCGTCCCGAAGGGGCCCCTGCCAGGGCCCCCGCCTCACCCGGGCCCCCCAGGCGTGCACGCGTCCCTGCCAACGCTGCACCGCGACCCCAGCCGCGACCTCGCAGTTGACACCGCCCGGCTTCCAGGACCTGCGCGTTTCCGCCCCTGGGCGGCCGGCCCTATTCAGGCCTCCGTAGGCGGGCACGCCCCCGGCCCGGCAGACACGCCCCCTGACGCCCCGCCGCCAGGACACGCCCCCGTAGACGGGCACGCCCCCGGCCCGGCAGACACGCCCCCTGACGCCAAGCCGCCGGGACAGGCCCCCGTAGACGGGCACGCCCCTAATCCCGGCCCTTGGCTCTTCGCCCTTCGCCCTTCTCCTGTTTGTCTCCCCGAGGAGGCTTCTCTTTCAGCCTAGCTCCCGTCCCGGGCCTGCCTTCTGTGATGTTCTCTGTGTCCCCTGGCCCTTCCTCGCGGAGATGAATCGCCTGGGATCCCGCGGGGCAGGGCCTCCTCCGGGCCGTTCCGCGCAGAGCCCGTGACAGGTGCGCTCAGGACCGGCTTCCAGGGCCTCGGCAAGTCCAGCCGCAGAGAAGGTGGCCCTCTAGGGCCCTGCTGAAGTCTTAAAGGGGCTGGGGCGCGACTGTTCCCTCAGGACCCCCTGCCCTTCCTGCCACAGGGCCCGTTAGGGAGGCAGCCTGTGACCTTCATGGAGGTCATGTGTGTTCAGTTCCAAGAGCACGAAGCACGCCCCTACACTAGCCCCACCTAACTGTGTTCGGCTCTGCTCCATTCACAGGTCCCTACTGTGTGCAGCACTTCACAGAAACTGGAGAGCACAGCTGGATATCACAGCGGAAGCTGCCCCCTCGCCCTCCGAGGGCCATCAGCCTTCTTTCAGGACCGTCCAACGGAAAAGCAAAGCCGTGGCAGCAAACGAATGTCCCTGGGCCTAAGAACAAGGGGGCGTGGGGCGAGGGGCGGGCGCAGATCTGTCAAAGCAGTCGCTAAAGTCACTCTCCTTCATCCTCCACCACCTGCTGCGCTGGCCTTCACAGTCCCTCCTTCTGGGTCCTCAGAAACTATACCCTCACGGATTGCCCAAGACCTCCCAACTGCGAAGAATGTCTTGTCCCCTTGGTTTTTCTGCGGCCCTGACAACCTTCACTGCCTGGGTCTCTTGTGCAGGACCAGGGTGCACACCCGTTCCAGAGGCCCTGGCTCCCCCCGCAATGCTGGTCTGTTCAGTTCCCCAGCCATTGTCACTACCGAGGTAACTCTGCTCCCACCAGTGCCCACCCCACACCCTTCCAACCTGGTTAACGCCAATCATATTTACCTTCCGAGTAAGGACATGGCTTCCTCAGGGTCCTTTGTCATCCAGGACCATCTAAGGATCAGGTGCACAGGTAATATGTTCTCCTGGGTGGTGTCCGCATAGTACTTACCGCTGTTTGAATAAGTGTGTGATTATCCTGTAAAGTCTGTTTTTCCCTCTAGACTGAGCCCTTACCTGTGGGGTCTGATGCTAATTCCAGGTAGTGTCAGAATTGAGTTAAATTGTAGGAACCAGCTACCAGGAAAACTCCCCATGCATGTGGTGACCAGAAGTGGGGTGTTATGTGGCAGTAGTAAGAGAGACTCATAGGGAAGGGACACACAGACGGGAAGAACTGGGTTTTTCGCTCCATGGGGAAACTCGGTTTTTCCTTGACACTGAGTAGAGGCTCTATCATGGGGACAAGCAGAGGTGGCTCCAGCTTGCAGGAACCGGGAGGAACCGGAGGGTGGTATTAACAGCTCCCACGAGACAGCATATTCAGGGACCAGTTGTGAGGTTTAAGAAGTGGAGTCAGCTCATGCAGAAGCAGGTGCACAGGAGGTAGGGACAGATGGCAACGGCCATCTCTATGAACAGACCATCCTTAAGTCATTGCTGATGCCTCGAAGACTAAGATACTTTTATTGACCAGCTTCCTGTCGATTTCACTCCTTCTGGTCTCTCATTCCCAAGTCAGTTTCGCCAGGTTATGCTGCAATGACAAACAGTCCCCAAACCTCAGTGGCTCACTCACTACCCCAACTGGGGTTGACCTTTGCTCACTCCCTGCTGGCTGGAGGTCAGGGGCAGCTGCAGCCCCCGGCCTTCTTCACTCTGGGACCCAGGCTGAAGGAACAGCCATAGTCACCACCTGCCGTTCTAACAGCTGAGCTGCGGCAGAACCACACTGTGGCTCTGAACCTGGGCGTCTGATGTCTGATCTTCCACTTCAGGTGTTTTTGGCCCAAACAAGTGACATGGTCAAGATTGGCATCAATAGAGTAGAAAGTATCCTCCTCCTACAAGTGGGGGCCTTGCTGTAACAGGGCAAGTGTCTGGGACACACGGGGAACAACAGCAAATAGCTGGGAAGAGTAATATGGTCTATCATAGGTGAGGAGGCAGAAATAGGACCTTCAACAAACCCAGGTGGGAAAGTGAAGGGTGAGCAGTGTGGACAGCATGCGGGGTCCGGATAGGAGGGCCCTATGCTGCTCCCACAGAGGGGCAGCCTGGGGGGCGAGGGGTGGAGTAACAGGAAGCTCCGGAGAAGCTCAAACTCAACTGAACAGCTCCACGTGGGCGACCAGCATCTGTTGGTGGGGGATTTGTCAGATGCAACTAATAAACACGAGCACTCAGTTGTGGAACAATTGAGTGTGCCAAATGTCAGGGTGCAAAGTTTTCAAACATGCTCCTCAAGATCGCATGTGCTCAAGGATAGAGACTCTGGGAGCTTGCAGGGTCCTGGCCAGCCAATGGGACTCTGGCCCATTGGGCTCAAAGCTTATGTTTACTGGGTGTCTTCCAAACAAGCAGCGCTGACCTAAGCCAGGAGGCTCAGGGTGAACAAGGGCTTCGGGTCAAGTGGCCTTGTTTTAGAGCAGAGGGCGGACAGTGGTGAGGACCTGGGCTCCGAAGGTGTAAGTTCGGGTTTTCCCACTCGCTACCTGTGTAAACTCGGTGAACTAGCTGGCTCCTCTAAGCTTCGGTGACCTCATTTGTAAAGTAGGAAAGCATTCCTCTCTAACACTGTTGGGATGATGAAAAGAGATGTCAGTGGTGGTTTAGCAGGAGCCCACTGAGCCTGGTGCAGGTGGGAGCTCAGGGCTGCGTCCTGTCTTACTACAGACACTCTGGACCCTCCGCTGGGAGGGAAGGACAGCAAGGGGCTCCTGGTGGGAACTCTGCAGATTCTGCCTTAGCCCTGAGCCTGGCTTTGGGGGGCTGCTTGTAGACCTTGTGTGTTAAAGGTGTGAGGGGTGACTGTGGTCCCCGTCTCTGCTGTGTCCGCTTAGGATTCTCAAGCTCTAAATAGCTTTGCCACCCTTAGGAGAATCTTCTTTTAAAAACTCCTTTGTATTCTAAATTATTTGTATGCTGAGAAAGTTAGGACACTTTCTAAATGTTTTCATTCTGATCTTTCTCTTTTTTTTTTTTAAGATTTTATTTATTTATTTGATTGAGAGAGAGTGAGCATGCACACAGGAGCTGGGAGAAGGGCAGAGGGAGAGGGAGAAGCAGACTCCCCGCCAAGCAGGGAGCCCAACGTGGGGATCGATCCCAGAACCCCCAGCATCACGACCTGAGCCACCCAGGCGCCCCTGAGCTTTCTCTTCTTATTGTATCAATATTTGTGACCTCTCCATGTGGTGTAGCTACTGTGGCAGTAATTTTGTTGGCCTGTTTCTTCTGGGCAGTGACTACCACGAAACAGGGATGGGAGAGGAGCAGGGAGGTCAGACGAGGGACTTTCAGGGTAATGCTTTTTGAAAATGTCACTTTAATAGTTGGAACTACAAAGAAGAAACTTTCTGGAACAGAAAATGACTAAATCAAATCAAACAGCATGAGATTCTGAAATGTGAGATAAAAGAATGTACAGCTGACCCTTGGACAACTCAGGGGTTAAGGACACGGAGCCGTGCAGTCAGAAATCTGCATATAACTTTTGACTCCCCAAAACCTCAACTACTAATAGCCTGTGTTGACCAGATGCCTTACATAAACAGTCGATTAATATGTAGTTGGCATGTTGTATGTATTATATACTGTAGTCTTAAAATAAAATAGAGAAAAGAAAATGCCATTAAGAAAATCATGAGGAAGAGAAAATGCATTTATAGTACTGTACTGTCCATTGGAAAAAACCACATATAAGTGGACCCAAGCAGTTCAAGCCATGTTGTTTCAAGAATCAACTGTATTGGGGCGCCTGGGTGGCTTAGTCCTTAAGCGTCTGCCTTCAGCTCGGGTCGTGGTCCCAGGGTCCTGGGATCGAGCCCCACATCGGGCTCCCCGCTCCACGGGAAGCCTGCTTCCCCCTCTCCCACTCCCCCTGCTTGTGTTCCTGCTCTTGCTATCTCTGTCTCTGTCAAATAAATAAATAAAATCTTTAAAAAAAAAAAAAAGAAATATTCAATAAATGTCAGTTATTACTACGTTTGGATCAAGCTTAGCTTAAGGATCAGAATCTATTAGAGCATTGTTAGCGTACATCCAACATTGACTCCCACATCACCTGGAATTGGACAGTTTGCATTTAACACGAAATGGTCAGTTACCAGGCAGAGGTGCCCATCCTGTGGCCCTCTCACCCGCCAGGAGGGCACACGAGTGGGCCCGGGGGCCGCCCTCCAGGATGAGAGGTGGGGGCTTCTCTGGGATGTCGAGGCCCAGGACAGTGAGGCTGTCCTCCCACAGTGAGGCCGCTCGCCAAACTGGGCCTCACTCAACTCTCATTCTTCTTTGTACAAGCATCAAAAAACAAACAGAAATCCTACTTTGCAGGGGGCTCTGTCCAAGGTATTTTTCAATATGGCAAATTTTATGAATAGATTTAATCTTAGAGAATTATCTCGAGCATAAAGTAATACCAAGACCGTGTACTCTGCATACTTGATTCCTATTTGGGATGAAAGAGGACAGTTTTCGGACAGGAGCCCTCCTCCATCCCCAGCTCCCAACGACGAAGCCGAGGTGGACAGGCCCGAGTGCCTCTAGGACCCTATAGAAACTCACACAGCAAAGGGAATTTGGGCAACAGGGAAGCATGACCCAACGCCACACGCAGGGGGCCAGTGACGGTGGCCCTGTACTCGGGTGCTCCAGGAGCATAAATACTAAGGAGAGCGGGATAGTCACTTCTGAGTTTACAAAAAAAGTTTTTAGATGTGCTACTTACTATCCAACCTGAAAAAGTATCATTTTGCCTTTACAGAGCACAAACACATGTGTACTCTGCCCGCACTACTTGGATTTCATGTTCAAGGACCAGCTCGGACCGCCTTCTTTATGGGTATTTGTTGATTTATTGTTAAGTCACCTGGCAACAACAATCTGACTGATGGTGTCATGGAACACATCGGAACAAGTGGAAACTATACTTTGCATACTTTGCACAGATTCGGCATTTTACGTGCACTGTGAAGTGCTGTAGAGGGTTTCCCCTGCGTTCCCCCATCCCCCCACTCCAGCTCATTCGGGCGTCAAGTTCTGGGAAAGCGTTCTCTGGAATGCAGCTGTGCAGAACATGTGTCGGAGACCCAGGCCATTCCTCTCCCTAACTCTGAGTGCTTCTCCTGTTGAAGAGACCCGGGGGGGTGCATCCCAGAGCCACGCCCCTGCCACACTTGTCGGCCTAAGCACCAGGGAGCCCGGGGGACAGGCACCCAGTGCCCCTCCATGGTTTCAGAAAGCTTCCGTCTACACTTAATTCCTTTTCTGAATGTTCTACACACAAATATTTCCAAATTGAATTAATCATTTTGGACAAAATCTGAATAACTGCAATGTGAACTATAAACTGCCACACTGGGGCGAGGCAGAGATAATAATTATTTTCGGTTAATATAATGTAAATGAACGTTAATTTTACCTTCTTCAAAAGCAATGACTTAAAAAGCTATCTTGAGTTAAACACAGCATTTTTCTCCTTGGCTCAGCTCCCACTACACTTAAAGATGTTTCTGCGGATCGAGCCGCAGGTGGGACCTCACCCTGTCCTCCCTAAGTCGTAGCACGGGACCGCGATCTTCTGAAGTGCCTCTTCTTCTTTCTTGATGTATCTCGAGACAACAGCACAAAGTCTTTTAAGAAACATTCTCTCCTGCCTGCGTTGAAGCGACTGCCCCTTAGGTACCCATGTTATTTAGCTTAGTGAAACCACAGGAAAGGAGAGTCTAAAACAAAGTGATGAATGAAACAGTGGATTAGGAGCAACTCTATAAATTCCACTTGCCTGCATTTTTTTTTTTTTTCAAATACCCAGCACAGAGCCCAACGCAGGGCTCGAACTCACAACCCTGAGATCAAGACCTAAGCTGAGATCAAGAGTCACATGCTTAACTGACTGAGTCACCTGGGCGCCCCTCGCCCACATTTTTTATCTATTGGAGAAAGGCCCTGAGAATGGCATCCCAAATAAAAGGTGGTTCACCCATCTGCGCCTCAGAAGGGCGGCCCCGTGGTCTGTCCCCGCGGCCCCAGCCCCACACGGTGCCCCCCGAGGCTATGGCTCTCCTGCACTCACCAGAAATGGCTGTGATTTAGTGGATGGATCACATCAGGCCAGTACATCTTCATTTCAGGCAGAAGGTCCTGTGCATAAAAAAAAAAAATCTGTGTAGGACCTAACAACTCAAAACCTAGAAGGCAAATCTGATAAACCAATACATTAGAAGAATTGACCTCTGTTAAGCAATAACAGTCAGGTGAGTAAAATTATTTCTTACAACACATATAAAAGTGAAATCTGACTAATCATGAAAGTGCATTGGAAAATAGGAGTATGCAGAGGGGAGTGGGTAAACACACAGTGGTTCACCCAGACAAGGGAATGTTAGCTCTAACAAGAAACCAGCCATCAAGTGATGAAAGGACATGGAGAGCCTTCCATGCATATCACTGAGTGGAAGATGCCAATCTGAAAAGGCTGTGAGTCCCGATGTGTGCTACTCTGGAAAAGACATGAGTACAGAGACAGTGAAGGGTCAGTGGTGTGAGGGACTGGGGGAGGGAGGGGGATAGTGGGAGAATGAGGGATTTTAGGGCAGTGAGACGCCTCTGCATGGTATAACCGGGGATGCACGTCATTACGTATCTGTCAAAACCCGTAAGACTCTGTGACACAGAGCGAGCCTACTGGGAACGGCACAGTGTCTGCTAGCGATGAAGTATCCATCCTGTGACAAGCGTACCACATGAATGCAAGGTGTCAACCACAGGGGACATGGTCTGTGCGTTCGGGGGACATACGTGGGAACTCTGCACCTGCCACTTAATTTTTCTGCTTTAGGTTTCTGAGACTGCTGTAAAAAGTAGCATCTACTAATTAAAACACACACCACAAAACTCAGGTTCTCCTTTCCCCCAAGAGGAGCTCATCTGGACTGGGCACGCTGTACAACACAGATAGTTGCCCTAAACTGCACAGCATTCGGGTTTACTTTTCAATTTCTACAAACCCACTGGACCAGAAACGAGGTTCACTTAAAACAGTGTCTAAACAAACTCAGGGCGACCTCGCTTTCCCCTATTTGCCACCAGCCCCCGCTACCCGCCAGTCACCGGACAACTGGACACCCCTTGCGTCCCCTGCCTGGTAAGCCTTGTCCTCACGCTCCCACGGCTGAACTTCCCAGGAAGCAGTCTGCCTCACTGTCTCCATGTGCCCCCGTCTTGCACCTGTCCCACACTCTGGCTTCAGCTCCCAACAGCTCCACAGGAGGGGGGAGTAGGCCACTTTCGTAGGGGACCAACGCTAAACTGGGCTTTCTGGGACAGAGCAAGTAACCCAGCAGTGTTTTGAACAAAGAGTGGCTTGCGGCCACCTCCCCACCTTGCCCAGCAGGCCGCTCAACTGAAAGGGCATTTTCAGCCTTCCTTTTACGAACCTTGTTAGTGCTCCTTCCCGAACCCCCCTCTCCTGGCTTCCCCCCTCCCCTCCCCTCCTCTGGCTGCTTTATCACATGTCCTGCCCCCCCCAATCTCTGCTCCAGGCTCGGCCCTGCTTCCCCACCCCCTCCACGTTCACACCTATGGGCTTCATACCACCTATGCACTGATCACACCAAAGCTCATCTCTAGCCCAGACCGCTCCTGTGACAGACACACGTAACCCACCGGGATGTTTCCAGGGCACTTCAAACAACACGTGCAAAGCTGACTGTCCACCACACACCCACCAAAGCCCGGTTCCCCCGCCAGCGCCCCCGTGTCAGGAAGGAGGACACCCCCAGCAAAGCCCATACCCAGAGCCCCACGGGAAGCTTCTCTCCCAGCTAGTCACCAAGCCCTGTTCCTCGACTTCTGGGCTCCCCTCTTGCTCTCCATTCCCATAGCCTCTGCCTACGCAGCTCTTCAGCCCTGGCCCGTCCCCCACACCAGCTCTCATGCGAGCCAGCACGGCATCCGGGCTCTTTCCCTCTCAGGCGGGAAAGCTAGAGGCACTCGGTACACTGTCAGTGAATCTGTAATTCCACTGTCGGGTCACGAGACTCTAACCAGGAACACCCCCGCGGTATTAGGCAAGCTGCAGTGAGTCTGGGAAGGGGAACGTGGGTCTGAGGAATGAGACGTTGCCAGGCTTTGGGGTACACTAATAATTCTTACAGACAGTCCTCAGACTCAGGCCTCTGGGTTCCTGCCAGTGAAGGCCCTTACAGGAAGGAAAGAGGAGAAAAGAATACCACGTGGACTAGAACGTGTGAAGGGTTTGGAACTTCCTGCCTTGCCCTTTTGGGGGCCATATATTCATGGGAAGGACCCTCATTCTAGCAAATCCTGATGCCATCTCATGTTTTCAGGGAGGCCCTACCCTGTAAGTCCAGGTACTTGTTACCTGACAGATGACTGGTTACATGCACAACGAAGTGTCTCAAGAGAGTGTCTACTAGCATTGCGGGTAAAAGCCGCTCCCTGGGCTATTCGGTAACACAGGCCTTTGTGCTGGGAGGGCCCATCCTTTCCTTTCTGCTCACAGGCCCTACCTGGAGACCCACCCGCCCACAGCCAGAAAGGACAGGTGTGGTACCCTGTGCCTGTCCTCCAAGCCAGAGAGGTCTAGAAATGCTGACCGGGAGGCACAGGGGACCCGGGACTAACGTGGCCTGGCGGGGGGCAGTCAGGGTCGGCTTCACCCTCGTCTGCTGTCACTTCACAATTCACTTCTAGTGCTGTGGGCCCCGGGCAGGGGAGAAAGGTTAGTTTGGATTTAATGTGTGGGATTGTTTTAGGGGATCCATAAATCCGGAAAAAGTGCCAGGGGTTGAATCCTGGTGAATACGATTGTGATTCCTCATTTGAAAGCATGCCTTTGAGGGTGCACTTCTGAGGAGTTAACCGAGCGCAGTATCTGCAGTAGCGACATAATGAACAGTGTTACCTTAATCTCTTCTAAATTAAAGGGCCATGATCCATTACATTCTTCTGCTTTATCGGGCCTTGAAATTAAAATGAAAAACAACGGCAATTAGTCTTGGTTGAGATGAGCTCCCAATGCAGGAGGAAGCACTTCCATTAACGTCTGTGGGAGCATCTGCGGGAACATCTGCGGGAGCAAAGGCAGAGACACACTAAGGCCGTGTGAGTCACTTAACAAAGAACACTCACGTAGGGGCAGTCAAAAAATCCGCCCAGGAGCAAGGCACACGACGACTCCCTCCCCGGAAGCAAACGAAACAAGCCGGTCGGGGGAGCTCGGGAGTCAGGCCGGGGCCTGAAGTCTCTGCCCTCTGCCAATCTCCATGCCCACGGGCCGCGGCGCGACTCCCTCTCTTTACAGGAGGATGAGGCTCAATGACGCAGCATACAGACAGTGCTCAGAGTGCCTGCCGATGACCCAGGCTCAGCTAGCACGGCTTCCTAAAATCCTAAGCACGGATCCCCTCCCTACTTCCCCATGTCTAATTCTGGACGTGTCAACTCCCGGTCTTCAGATGCAGCTGAGTTCACCAGGCCACCGAATCTACTTCCTGGACCCCCAACATGTCTCCAGTGTCAACAGGCCGGCCCAGCACCCCAAAACCAGAGCAGCTCCCTGCCGGGATGGGGGCACACGGTACACCGTCCTCCCAGCTACAAGTGAAGCGGCAGGAACATCAGCACGACCCGAGGAAGCTCGCTCCCCGAGACTGCAGTGTGGGATCACTGACAAGTCTGTGGCAAAGGAGGGGCCGGAGCCGGGTCCCCGGGCCGCAGTCTTATTTGCTGCTCACAGAACCCCGTTCCTGAGGAACAAGCAGGTACCGGCAAAGGCCAGAAGGGCCCCTCCCCCCACGGGAGCAGCTGGGCAAGGGCATCCCTTTGACAGGCTGACTCATGGGCACAGTTAAACACGATAAACACACGCACAAAGAGGGAAGAATAAACTACACAAAATGCAGGCAAAACCTGAACGATGAACTCGGGTATCCGTGTACGATGTAGACACATACACGCACGTACAATGCACACGCGCTTACTTATTTTTATGCATCTACTTATTGCCCCCAAAGAAGGATAAAATGAGAGGGTTACATTTAGTGACCCCAGCCTGGACCCAGAGTCCCTACCAGCAGATGTAAGCCGGATTGTCCCTGTTCCACCAAAACAGAACTAAGCCACAACAAAATTAGGGTTATTGTACAAACAGTGAAGATATTTTAAATAAGGATTTGGTCCACTGAATAAACTCCTAACAAAAATCACTAGGGTAACTCTTAGGACCAGCCTCAATCTACTTTTGGGTTGGCTAGTTTTTTCCTGTTTAAACGTGAACGGCGCTAGGGCTTGCCATAATCCGTGGATGGTCCAGTAATCCGGAGGGTCTCTGCAGTCGTTCTCAACCTCCTGCAGAGGAAAGACAGACAGCACATCACGGTTCCGTTGTTTATTTACTGCGGCTTCCAGCCCAGAGGAGCTACGTGGGGACGGGCGCTCCGTCTGGAAGGAGTGGCCCAGTCCTCAATTACATAACCAATTAAAAACTGAGTTTTGCCTTTTTTTATATGTTCTCAAATTAAGTCAATCTGATGGAAACACACCTATTTGCCCATTAATTTTCTTATCGTGTAATCAAAAATAAATGTTTGAGGGCTCACAGCACCCGTGAAATGAGCTGGTTCAGGCGCCAGGTCTGGATGTGTTAGTGATACAGTAAGTGTGAACGTTACAGAATATAAACGTGAGTGCGAGTGCTCTGGAGCGAAAACGCCAAGGTGAGGATAGGACAATAAAGATAAACTCACGGAGATAAAAGCTCAGTAGCATACGCTTTAGGGACTTCCAAATTTTTTAGCTAAATTGGGGAGTTCTTCCAAAACAACCATCAAGAAATGTATCGGCTATGGGACCGATGCGCCCATGGGGAATAAACCCATGAAAAGCGGGTGTGGGTGTCTGGTGAGGAACAAGTGAGGCTCCAGGCAGATTTTCAAGCCTTTCCTGTGGGGATCACCTTCTGTGGAGAGGCAGCTCTGCCCCAGGTTGGTCTGGAAATTAGGGAGGCTCTGGTTTAGGAGACTGGCACGAGGGGGGCATGAAAGGTACCTGCCACAGACCGAGAGGGCAGAAGAGCAGGACAACAAAGTGCAGGATCAGAGCGGGGGGCGTATACTTCACCTCTCCTGACATCCCAGGTTCATCCCTCAGGAAAGCACAGTCCAAGCAGGGGGCCCACTTCCCGCAGGTGCCCGGCTGGTAAAGAGCAAGGTCAGGACCCACGGCCAGGGCAGTGGGGGGTGTCTTCTGTCGGCCCTACGTCCAATGTCTCAGATGAGCCTTTAAGGGGATGACTGAGACCCAGGGGCAGCTAGTACCTGTCAGTCCCCGGCATGTGCCCGAGGCCCGTGCAGAGCACCGAGGACTGTGGAGAAAGACAGACCAGCCACTGCACCCTATAACACCTACGTCACTCATGCGGGGAACAAGCCCGGAGACAGCCCCACTGCCCCGGATGACACCAGGGCCACAGTACAGGGACCCCTTGTCATGGGCACCCTGCAGTGAAATTAATTCCCTAACAATGACGCTTCACCGGCAGAAGATTTTTTTTAAAAATCTCATGTCTGAAGTTTCAAGGTAGGAATGCATTTCAGTGCACAAGAACACACCCACATTTTGTCACAGAAACACCTCAGCCACCAAATGACCTTGCTCCGTGCCCCCAGGCAGATCTTCTGGTGTTACCCAGCACGGGAGCTCTCTACACCGGCCCTGCCCACAGGACCCAGGGCTCCCGCGATGTTCCACCGCCAGGGTGGAGAGCTAGATCTCCAACCGCACTCAAAGCTGGTCACCACTGCTCCATTCTCCGCCCTCCAACGCTACTCGAGCCAGAGCACAGCAACAGCACGAGAGGCAGAAGGAGACAGTGCAGTGTGCAGTTTAGGAACCTCGGCCCAGAGAGAGCAGCCTCACAGCAGAAGCGAGACACGGCTACGAATGACAGGCCAGCCCGAGAGCAAACGTGGGCACAGAAACCCACTATGCACGAACGGGGCCAGTCGAGGCAGGAAAACTCACCTTGCACACTGTTACAGGCCAGTGGTGAACCATAATTAGCTTTTTCCACTGATGGTTGTCACTGTTAAAAGACAAGAAACTTATGTTTCAAGAACTGTTTAAAGAAAAATTCATCCATCCATTTACACCATCATGCATTCAACAAACACGGAGTGACTGTCATGGGCCAGGCGCTACTGTGGGATGGGGCCACGCTATGAATGAGGGACCTGGTCCCCAGGCACTACCACGGGATGGGGGCACTGTCCGGAGGGACCCGGTCCCTACCCTCTTGAAGCACGTGTGCCAGGGAAGGAGCCAGTGACCACGGTAGCTAAGAGAACACACATGGTGCCCCACAGTGACAAGTGACAAAGAATATAAGTAAGCAAGAGGACAGGCATGTCAGCAGTGGGGACAGGAACTGAAATTTTAGGCCAGAAAGCCCGGGAAGGCCTCACTAAAGGTGGGGGCAGAGGCCAGGACGCAGAGGGAAGGAGCCCTGAAGTGCCTTCCTCCTAGGGTTGGTCACGAGTGTAGAAACAGAAGCATTGTTATCCCTTAGCCACATTTGTGAAACCCATAAGGCCCTCAAACCTGAATTTTTTTGTGGTTCATTGGGCAACAAAACATGACCTCAACTAGTTTGAGCTGCTTAGTGCTCTACACCCCTCAGTGTGAAGGTGCAGGTGCTTGGCCCCACGGTGCTCCCTCAGACACGGTGCTCCCTCAGACTCGGTGCTCCCTCAGACTCGATCTGGAGCATGGCCATGCCCGCCATGACCCACACGCCCGGAAACCCCCTGGCTCTAGGACCTCCAGGTGAGGGGGGGTGGAGCTATGTCTGCAAACAGGTCGAAGCAGGAAGGATAGCTGGTGAAAACACTCTACAGATGGGAAACGTCAGCGGCCACAAAGGGACTTCACTCAAACAGACACTTAATTCAGGATAAATTAGATTTTAGAAGGAATGACTCCAAAGTAAAACAGGACCAAGTGCTCACACATTGGTTTCTGTAAAGAGGTGAGTCCTGCTGAATAAGTACAGAATCACAATTCAGATGTTACACAAACTTAGTTGTAAGTTGCACTCAGTATAAAAGAAAAAGATAAGCTGCAGCATGAGAACTAGAGCTGAGACAAATGTCAGAAGCTGCTTTTTTCTGGGTGCAAAACCCTCGTTTAGGTGGAAACTGAGACTACAGGATCAAGTTACGGCCAGGGAGGGAGACCCCGAGTACGCTATTTACCAGGACTCTATCAAGACTCAGAACGTCTACAAGACAAGGTCCACACACAAGCCAGGCAAGAGCGGCGGGGGTGTAGAGAAGCCTCCCCTGAAAGCAGTGCAGAAGCTGTTCTAAAGAGAAAGGCCACCAGGCAAAGGAAGAGAGGAGAGTCACCAAGTTGTCCACCCAGCCAGCGCTTGGGAAAACACCTTCCGACCCCTTAAGTCCTGGAGGGTTGAATCAGCTGCGTTTTCTCCAGACCACGCCTCACTCACTGTGGTTGTCCAACTACATCAGTGCATGAATTATGCAGGGATGGGGGTGGCGGGGACCACATATTACAGAGTCAGGTCTTTATCCGACATTTACTGACTGCTACTGGCCAGACATGATTCTAAGCACATTCTGCCTCGCCTCGAATCAACACTTAGGAGGCAGGTGCTGTTGTTATGTCCACTTGACAGATGAGCAAAGCCACACAGGGAGCTCCAAGGTCACACATCTGGATGAACCAGCGGCTGGTACTCAACCAGTACCCCATACTACCTCTCCAATGATATACTCTTAACCTGACGCAAAAACTAATCCCTTAATGAAGGTAGCTCTTTTTCAAAAAATAGGCTTCCTGGGGAAAGCTGAAATACAATGTTACCTTTTCAAGTAGATGATAAAACAGCAATGACACTTAATTAAAAAGTAAAACCCACCTTTTCCCTCACCTACCGTGTAAGTACGAAAGCTTTTATTAAATACGAAATCATTACCCAAAATAAATAGAAGAAAAAATTAAAATCTGGTGCTCAAAATTTGGTTTCCTCTACAAACGTGCAACAAGAATCCTCCACAAAACCGCCTGTTTACCCCGGATCAGCTGCAACCCTGAATGAAAAGGAGGAAGGGGAAGGCAGGGGGATGAAGAGCCTGCGTAAGAAACTTAAAAAGAGGAACCAGCACCATATCCCCGACATTGCACTGGAACCTAACCCCAAAGCGCGCGTCTACAATGTCGGAGGGTGTCAGAGCACCTGCCGGCGCCTCGACCCGACCCCAGGCCCCCGGCCCCTGCGGAAGCTCAGAGCCGCCCCACCCGCTCCCAGGGGTCCCGGGCTCACCTCCTCCGGGACCCGCGCGCGCCGCCCAGGCAGCACAGCGCCAGGCAGAGGGAGCTCAGCAGCAGGCTGTGGGGGGCTGCAGGCTTCATCGTGCCCCACACCCGAGGACTACACGCTCACGCGCACAAATGCTCAGCTCTTAAATATCCGGCGCCAGGCCCTGCGCTTCCCTGAAAATGGACAGAATTCCTGAAGCCCACCTCTGACCCGCCGGCGGCCGACTCCACCCCCAGGGCGTCCGCCGTCCCGAGGGGGCCCCGGCGCCCCCCACAGCCCGCCGTCCCGAGGGGATTCCCTCCCCAGCCCGCCGTCCCGAGGGGGCCCCGGCGCCCC